GGTTAAGAGCAGAATATGTTTATTGACGGAAAGAAAGCTTCTGTCCGAGAAGGACGGAAGGGGGCCCGAGTGGGTTGCCCAGGACCTTGCCCTTCCCAAGGACTTTATAGAGCAAAACCATGAGGTGAGACGGACCCAAGGAAGGGGAAAAATGGGAAATTGCAAAGTGGGCATGAGGTGGGACAAAACTATGGTCAGCCAATAAGATTACAAGTATAATTGTTCAGGTAAAATTGATTAAATTGGGATCAAATGAGGAAGCAAGTCACATAGCCAGCAGGCATGAATACAGAACAGGGGCTTTTCCAGTAGGGAGTTGGGTCAGTGACTCTTCAAAATGATCGCTGCCTATTTAGAATATTAATACTTGATGTCCATCCCTAGAGACGTATATGGGTGTGTTTAATCTTTTATTTTGAGGTCTCTCCATTTGCAAGGTATCTGTGCTCCACACTGGCTCCTTCGAGGGCCTGACCCTGTCTGACTATTACATTTCTATCTAACTCAGCTGCCTACAACACTAATACTACTAAACATTATTTTTCTTTTTTTTTTTTCCTTTTTTTTTTTTTTTTTTTTGTTACTGGGAATCGATCTCATGACCTCAGGCTTCTCAGGCAAGCACTTAGGCTGCTGAGCTGCATCCCGGGCCCTAAACATTATTTTTCAAACATTTAAGACTTTTGCATTTACTCTCCCTTTTTGCCTCATTTTTAACAGCTGTACTCTATATTACCTGATTACACGGCCATTGCATATGACATGCCCTTCATTTTAACACACAAAATTAGTCTTTTTTTGTTTGTGGTTTGTTTTTTCAGAGTGGGTCTTGCTATGTAGCCCAGGCTGACCTGGAACTCCCTGCGATCCTTCTGCCTCAGCCTCCCGAGTGCTGGAATTATAGGTGTGCGCTACCACATCCAGCTCCATTTAGCTTTTTTATGTATTTGTCTTTGTCTTTTTGAGACAGGGTCTCGCTGTGCAGTTCAAGCTGGCCTTGAGCTCACTTTGTAGCCCAGGCTGGTCTCAAACTCCCGATGATCCGCCTGCCTCAGCCTCCCGAGTGCTGGGATTACAGGCGTGCACCACCACACCCAGCCAGCTCTATTTAGTTTTAAGAAACAACTGTAATTTTAGTTCGGACCACCAGCTTGTCTTGTCTGAAGCTTGTTCTCAAATGGAATATTCTGGAAGGGTTCACGGGAATACTATTCCCTCAGCTTTTGCATACTGCTGTTTGTCTGTTGATAACAGTTGTCAAGTAAAACACAGAACACAAAGACTTGAAGTCAGCTTTACTGAATATAAAACTCCTGGCTCACACTGTCCTTTCTTGAGTATTTAAATGTGTCACTCTGTTTGCTTCTGGAGTTAATCGCTGCACTCTAAAATCTGACAAAATATCATTTCCCTTTGCTGTGTTTGTTTAGTTGCGTAAAAGGAGTTTTTTTCTTTCTCCTTAAAACACAGTAGTTTTACTGGCATGGGCCTAAGTGTTGTTAGTTTTGTTGACATATTCTCAAATATGTAGTATGCTCTTTTCATGTGTAGTTTCAAAAATTCTTTTTTAAATTTCAGGAACATTGTCTTGATCGCATGTGTCCTCTTGCCTGAAGTTTCTCCCTTCTGAGAGAGTCCTAGGGCCAGAATCTTGCATGTTACTTTGCTTTCTTCAGTATTGGTCACTTCCTATTGAGATTTTTTTTTCTTTCATACTTTCTTTTTGATTTAGAAAAACCTTTCATGCCAACGTTCTGTTTTTCAATGTCTTCTCTGTTGCATTTGCCAAGCAGGCGCTTTTGCTGCTGAGCTAAATCCCCAGCCCCTAGTCTGTTGCATTTGTTTGTATTCGGTCTTTATTCATAAAGATCAGCCTTTACTTCTTTTATTGCTAATGATTCCTCAAATTCTAGCAGCTCATTTAAAACCTTTTTCCTAATTTGATTTGAGCTATTCCTTCATCTCTTCTGCCAATCTCTGTATCTTTTAGCTGATTTTTAAATAGAAGGTTACAATTTTTTTTTATTTATTTATTTTTTTTTTTGTCTTTTTGAGACAGGGTCTTGCTTTGCAGTTCAGCCTGGTCTTGAGCTCACTTTGTAGCCCAGGCTGATCTCAGACTGGAAACAATCCTCCTGCCTCAGCCTCCTGAGTGCAGGGATTACAGGTGTGTGCCAAAATAGAAGGTTATAGTTTTAACGGCTCTACAGACATTTCTAGTGTGATTTCATTGTCTGAACAGGTGCTGTTTGTCCCATCTATCTTTCTCCTTAAAATAATTTTGTGTGGGATTTGACCTTGATAATTGTTATTGCTTATTTTTTATGTAAAATTTATTTTCCTGAAATCTGAAAAAAAGGGAAAAAAAGTAAGCAGTGCCCGAGGTAGCTTTTCTAACTTCATGGAGCCTTTTTATGATGTTTGTAGAGAAATTTAAAGAACACGGCAGCTCCCTTTCTGAGATTTCCCGGCCTCCTTTCCCTCCACCACTTATAACGGGCTATTTTCTTTCTCCACTGCCCACTTCCACAATTACTCATCAAACCAGAACGCTATCCCAACTGGGACTTCTGGCTGGGTAGTTTAAAAGTTCATAAGAGATAGCTCTGGCTCCTTTTGTTTTTGCTGTTTGTTTGTTTGTTTGTTTGTGGCAGGGTCTCATTATACAGTCCAGGCTGGCCTTGAACTCACTATGTAGCCCAGGTTGGCCTTGGACTCACAGTGATCCTCCTGCCTCTGCCTCCTGATGGCTGAGGTTATTCTTCCCACAAACTCCTCCGCTTCACCGAATGCTTTTGGAGCTGGTGATCCGCTTGCAGTCCCAGCTCTGCCCTCTGGCTGACCTGCCCAGTAAATGCCTCTGGGCTGCAGGGATCCTTCTATTGCCCAGTCCATCAGAATCCTGCCTGCCTCCTTTTGCTCTCTCCCGCACAGATACTAATGGGGCGCAGGTCTTTGTGGATTTGCGAGCCTGCAGGGATATCCTGTCATCCACTCTGCTTGTGGGTTTTTGGTTTAGCCATCTAGTTGCTGTCCGTTTTTATTTGGGGATTCAGAGAACTTTTTAAAACTATGCTGCAGCTACCATCTTCCCAGTTCACTTTATCATAATTTTTTACAGCAATCATATTTATCTGGGAGAGAAAAGCAGAAATAGTTCCACTGTGGGAAAAAGACAAGCCTGATGCATGGTACTGGGTGGCGTTCAGAGAAGAAAACAGACGCGATCAGCTGGTACGAAGGAGCACAGCTGCACCACTGTTCAATTATTTAAATGCTTCCATCCCACTAGGAAGGAGGCCTTGCCCCAACTGCCAGTGTGCCCCCCCCAGTGTACCCCCTCAAGCGTCCCCCTCCACCAGAGAGAGAGGAACTAGAGAGCCCAAGTCCACTGCAGAGGGGATTTCAGGGTCCTGCTCCTGCCCCACGGCTGCTTGGTGGTGGCACAGGTTCAATAGAATGAATATCACCTAGGAGAGGTGCAGCCTCTGGAGGCCAGACAGGGAGGAGCGGGGGGAGGGAGGGTGAAGGGCGGGTGCCCTCAGCATGGGCCTCAGAGGCGAGTTCAGCCAGCAGTTCCCGAGCTCCCTTCCCTGGGCACAAAGACAACAAGGCCAAGCTGCTGCCCTTGAGGAGCCCACCATCTGCTGCCCACCTCCTCTGGGGACCCTTGCTGCTGCCAGGATGCCACACGGGCCACATGCCTCAGAGAGCTCAGTCCCCGAGCAGAAATGCGGGAGGAGCGCGGCACGGTGACAAGGCTGTTTCGTAAGCCACCGCCGAGGCGAGATCCGGTCTACCTTTGGCCAGTGATTGCCGTGAGAGACCTGGCAGCTAAAACAAACACTGAAGAAGCCACGCAGTGAATGCTGCATCCTCGTAGCCTATGAGTCCAGCAGTCGCCTTAGACACAGCAGCCGGTATCTGCATCAGCAAAGCGAACAACCACTGAACAACCCTGGCCCGGGGTCCTCATGGAGCGTGCAATGCTTTGTTTGCATACGGAGAAAAAAAAAATGGATCGGAAAGAAAAGGAGGCTGGGAACACAGTGCTTGGCTAACAACAGTTTTTCATGAATATGTTTTCCGCCTTCAACTACAACGCATTGAGAAGATCCCTGAGTCTTGCCCGCCCAGTGACTGGGAGCACAAACCTGCGGATGAGGGTTAGCAAGTGGGATTAGCAACTTACTATCAGAACCCAAAATATACCATAAAGTTGCACTGATGCCCCTGTTCCCCCAAAGTCAATAAATCCCAGCTGACCACATTTTTAGGCCAATATTAAGCATCTACTGCATGTCAGTATAGTCCTTACTATTACCAAATTCCCCCTTACCCATCAGGGACATCAACATGCAGAAATCCTTGATACCAAGCTCAGCTTTACCTCTACAAAAAGTACAGGTATTGTGGTTCTCACAGCAGAAGGAACGCTCCAACAGGAGCCAGACGTATATTGCAAGTGGGACATTATTTTTATGCCTTCACCTGGGACTTCTGAGAGAAAGAACACAAGTGTAACAGTTTAATGAGTCTGCCGGAGTCTACGGCGCATTTGGGAACCCCCTCCCGGGGAACCTGTTTGTGAAGCAGGAGAATCAGGCTCTATAAATTTCATCTGACAAAATGAGAACATTATATTGGCGACTGCCACCACCAGCTTCTAGTAATAAAGTGAAGGGGATGTGTCAAAAATCCTGGTGTGAAGGCAGGGGAAAACAGGAGCTTTTTCAATTACATGCACTCTCTTAATGAAAGCATTTCATACAGTGGTGGCTGAGAGTGCAGCTCTGGAATCAGCCTACTTAAATCCAAATCCTGGCTCTAGTACTAGTTATGTGACTCTGGATAAAATGTGTAGCAACTACAGGCCTCAGGTTTTGCATCAATAAAATGGGAATATTGACATCCATGTTATCTATTGCTGCTTTAAAGATGAAATGATTTAAACCTGCAAAGTACTTAGAAAAATGCTTCCCTCCTCTCCTCCCTTATAGGCCTTATTCCGCTGCTGCCTCTTGCCAACCTGTCACTACCGTAGGAGAGACTCAAAGTCTTGGGCCACAGTGGACCAAGGCAAGAAGGAAACTAGTAGGGCACTGCTCTCAGCCAGTCTGGAATCCTCCCTCTGAAGCCTGGCCACCTGACCTGCTTGTCCACTCTAATGACAAGGTTTCCGCCCTACGCTCCAGCTCTGGACATTTGGAAGGTCTTTTTTGCACTGCGTCAAAATCTGTCACCCTGCTTCCCTTGCTAGTCACTCGGTCTGTGGGAATCAGAGGCAACTAGGTAATCGCGTCACTTTAAGCCAATGATATGCAATTAAACATAGGAGCTCTAGGGGCAGACTGCATGGGCCGAACCTCAGTTCTACCATATATTGGTGCTGTGATCTTCGGCAAGGTGAATCTTTCTTCCTCTCCCATTCCTCCTGTGCAAAGCGGGCATCCTAACGCTACCCATCTCAAGGGTTGGGTGAGGACAGAGTGAGAGCCTGTAAGTAAGACTCAATCAGTGTTAGCTGATGCGGATGTTAACATCCCTGAGGCTATGCTTCTTCCGGCCAGTCACCTATATTCCCTTTGCTGGATCCTCAAACAATTCCCAACACCCGCGCGCCCCCATGCCTCTCCTTTGCGTGGCTGCAGCAGCCAGAATTCCTCTCTCTTTTTTTTTAATTTTGAAAAATAAAAAAAGGGAAACACATAAACAAACAGACAAACATTTACAAAATAGCAAAAGAACAATACAAACAATACAGCCGGGCATGGTGACTCACGCCTGTAATCCCAACACTTGGGAGGCTGAGGCAGGGAGATTGTTGCAACTTCGAGGTCAGCTTGGGCTACAAAGTGAGCTCAAGGTCAGCCTGAACTGTATAGTGAGACCCTGTCTCAAAAAGACAA